TTTGAACAAAATGCGTCCGTCCTGCACACACAGCAATGTGTTATGCAATCTCAAAGGATGTGATATTATTCTGGGCACATGGCACAAACAGGAAGTATTTCCAGGAAGAATTTGTATGAAGGGGTGTGGTACTAAAGACTGAACACAGAACCTCACGCTTGCTAAACAAGAGCTCTACCACTTGAGCCACACCCCTAAAGCTTTCTGCTTTTAGTTTGTTTTTCAGATAGGGGCTCAGCCAACTCTGTGGGGTAGCCTTCAACCACAGGCTTCCTACCGCCATCTCCACAGGTGTCCTCTTCATGCCTGGCTTGTGACTGAGACAGGGGGTCACTAGCTTTTGCCTGGGCCAGCCTCAAACCATGAGCCAAAATCCTTCTGTCTTGGTCTCCCAAATAATTGGGATTACAGGCATGAAACACTAAGTCTGGCTTCCAGAAATATGTTGTATTTCCAAGTTAATCCAAGGATTTGGATTAGTCCTTCCATTTAAAATGGGATAAGGGGGGGACAGGATCTGAGAGGTGACCTGAGCGAACATTAGGGCTGTTAAATGACTGCATCTGGGGCTCTTACCACCTCTCGGGTTAGCAGGAAGCACAAAGCCTCAGAGCACACCTGAGCTGGTCAAATATCCTGTGGCCCATTCTTCAAGTTACATTTCCCCAGCACATAGAAGCTTCTTCTATCTTTTCAATCTGGCTACTCCTTATCAGAAAAAACAATTACCAGAACTTTGAAAGGTTCATAAGAACTTTTTATGAGCATGAATATACTTAAAACTTATCAGGAAACTGGGCGCCAGTGGCTCACACCTATAATTCTAGCTACTCAGGAGGCTGAGCTCTTGAGGATTGTGGTTCAAAGCCAGCCCAGGCAAGGAAAGTCTGTGAGACTCTTATCTCCAATTAACCACTAGAAAAACAAAGTGGTGCTGTGGCTCAAGTGGTAGAGTGCTCGCCTTGAGCTGAAGAGCCAAGGGACAGTGCCCGGGCCCAGAGTTCAAGCCCCATGACCGACAAAACGAAACAAAACAAAAACAACTTAGCAGGAATGATCACCGCCCTAAATTAACCAAGTCACTTACATGCTTCACAGTGCAAGAAAACTGGTAATGGAAATAATCTAGACATTAGGAAAAGCTCATATGACTGTAGAAGAACAGAGTTTATTAACTGTCCAGATTTGAGATCACAGAGCTACCATTAGCAAGAGTTTCTATTTCCTTCTTTCAGAATTATTTAAAATTCCAGGTCTGCCTTGCTTGCACGCATTTACCTAAGGTCGACTGGACACAATGAGACCTAGGATGTGCCTTTCGAATTTTGGTGTTCTCAAACTGTGGCTTTACTCTCCTCTGATATTCTGATTGGATGATCCAAGCACATAAGGATTCTGATTGGGTGAGCACCAGCCCAGAATTCCTTATGTGTCTCTGCTTTGAGAACCAGAGGTAAGGGCTGAGCTCACCATCCTTACGAGAGGAGTCTATTTGTAAGCACTCTTGGCTCCGGTCAAATTCTTTTCTCCTTTCCAAAAGATCTGCAAGTGACTCCTGTCTTTTTTTTTTTAATTACAGATTTTTGCAGTCTTCTACATACTCACCCTCCAACTCTTTCTTGCGCACTCTAAAGCAGCAACAGTACCTCAATTTTGTATGCTACTTTTCAGCTTTATATTTCCTTTTTTTTTTTTTTAAGAAAAAAATCCCAATGACATTCCACTAAGAAACAACAAGGTTAGTCCCTCAGTCCAGAACGCCTAGCTTCACATCTTGAAATACTATGGAGGCGAAAGAAAATGAAGTGTGAACTCCTGCGGGTGGACAGAGGAGGGGGTGGGTGCGTACGGTGGCTCAAGCAGTTGTTGGGATACAAAGAACAGAGTTTACCGCCCTTCTATGAGTACCTGCACTGGCAAGTGATGACGAGCAGAGAGGGAAACTGAGTAAATCACAGACAACAGTAGCCCCAGCCATAAGTAAGGATTCTTGGCCAGACCGATTTAGCTGAGGATTCTGACACTCATGTGTATTTTCGCTAATCAACAGGAACTCCCTTTGTTTACAGCATTAAGCAGCCAACTTTGGCAGTAAGAAGTCTTTGTGCTCGTGTCTTTCCGTTTTTCCTTCTCTTATACAGGGAGAGATTAGGCTCTTTCCTAGAATACTTTAAAGAAAAGAAGTCTTCCTGTCTGTTTCTCACAGTTGAATGCAACACTGCCAGCAATCTTTGTTCCTACCTTAAATTCCTACACGTGCGCACACGCGCTCTTGCGCACCAACTCTCTCTTCTTCAAATTAACTTTCCTAGGCTTGCAAAGCCTGTTATTCTTATCTTTGATCTTAATTCCAGAATGATACAAATTTTCTAAGATGTGATTTTGTAAAGTGATGGCAATTTTTCTAATGGTTAAAAAATAAAAAACTCCCAAGTAATGATGCGTTCCTAGCAATTTTCTTTTGAGAACTTAAGTAATTTAATGGGGATGTTTAAAAAAAAAAAAAACACTTTTATAGCCAGGTGGCTCTAGGGGATATTTTTTTGAACACTGATTAAAAATAATTTCTTCTAAATGAGACCTGACCACAAAATGGAGCCGTTCATGGGCAGGGCCATTGTCACCAAAGCAGAGGCCGTGGCTGATTGCCTGCTGTACCTCCCACCACACAAACATTCTCTTCTCTTTCTTCTCCTTTACTTGTTCTTAATAGCAGAGTAAATAAGCAGCCAGTGAGGCCTAAATATTTTTGGCCAAAAAAACAGGGTCCAAACTCTTCAGAGAAAACATTGGCCTCTGTGGTTTTGTAATATGTTCCAGAACACCGAGTTCAGCGAGGAACATTGTGAAAAACTCCCACCCCTTGGAATGGTGGTGAGGAATGCCACAGTATCAGAAACTTCCATTGGTCCTTTCCTACAGGCCCATAATGAGGCTTGTAAAAAAAAAATAGTGCTATGTGGAAGTTCTCATGGGAAAAATGAATGGCAAGAAATCCTAGCTTTAAAAGAAACAGCTAATCTGCTAGTTTGATTGTTCTTCAAAACTTACGCTGAACCAATGAGCCTAATTAAAAACACTTGGCCTACTTCTATAAAGCATCATAGCTCGCTCTATGCTTCGTTTGTATACACCACAAAACTCCAGATAGACTATTATTTTTTTTTCAAGTGCTCACTAACAAAGTGCTGACTTTGTTGGGATGGCTGAGCTAATTTCTTGAACTCAGTGTGAAACCTTAGCTAAACAAAATTGTGGTAATTTTCCTTAATTTGTAAAAGTGATTGGAGTGCAAACAAAATTTTCCTCTTGGGTCAATCCTATAATTTTCAATTAACTAAAACTAATCGCCAGGCAGACACCAAACCTGCATTTTGTTTAAAGGGCTGGGAGGCATTTCCAAGGGTCAGAGTGCATTAATTGTCTTTATAATTTTAAGAGAGAAAGAGGGGAGAGGAGAGGGGAGGGGAGGGGAAGGAGGGAACAGGAGAGGGAGGAAAGGGGGAGAGGGAGGTGGGGAAGAAAGGAGAAAGGGAGGGAGAGGCAAGAGGGAGGGGAGAGGAGAAGGGAGGGAAAGGGGAGGAAATGGGGGAGGGGAAGGAATAGGCGAGGGGGAGGGGGAGGAAAGGAAGAGGGGAGATGGGGAAGGAGAGGGGAGGACTGAATGATAAGAGACATACTTGATTTTGTTCCTAGTGTTGAAGGATAAGATAAAGACGCATTGTGATCAAATGCTGAGGCAGGGTGAAATCTATTTAACTGCGTGGTTGTAATTAGGGAACATCAGCAGAGTTCTCCCTTTGCCATTCCAGATCCCTAAGAATGCCATGAACCCCTCTTCCTCATCCTGGCCTGCATGAGTGGAGATGGTGGCCACCTAGCTCGTGGCCACAGCCAGCCAGGACGCTGCCTGTGTGCTGCTACCCCATGTGTGGCCCTCTGACCAGCCGCACAAGCCTCACCTTTAACCTTGTCAGAAATGAAGGGATCTGGGTCAATTGGGATCAACTCCAGCAGAACCAAAATTGTCACAGAGATCTCCGGGTGTTCGGTGCACTGTCTGGGGGTGCTCAGACTGTGGAGGGCCTGCCTGCCTGCGTCTAGTGAGAGGGAACTGGTGCTCCCTGTAACCCCAGCTTCTTACCACAAGGTGGGTCTACTTGCCAGGCTGATGCAGCTCCTTTCAGAAGAGACTACCAACCTGGAAATCAACTCTGTGAGTACCAACTGTGCGGAACACACACAGACACACACACACACAGACACACACAGACACACACACACAGACACACACACACAGACACACAGACACAGACACACACACACACATACACCTACACACACAGACACAGACACACACACACACAGACACACACACACAGACACACACACAGACACACACACACACACACACACACACACACACACACGGAACTGAGTGACTTAGTTGACAGCACCTGAGACTGCAGGGCGGGCTGTCACACCCAGGCCCTTCTCCCAGGTCCTATGCCGCTTCGTAGGGCACACAACTAATTACTTCAGCAGATCCTGCTGTTCCAACCTAGACACCTGGTTGAATGATTGATTTATTTGTATTCTGGCAGTCCTGGGGTTTGAACTTGGGGCCTTGCCCTTGCGAGGTAGGTGCTCTTAATACCTGAGGCACGTTCTTAAGCACTGTTTGGCTGCTTAGTATTTTTCTCAGGAAGGATTTCATGTTCCCTTGACTCCCCTCCACACCCCACAGATTGGCCTCAGACTGCATTCCTCCTACCCACAGCCTCCCATGTGACTGGGGTCTGCAGATGTATGTGTGTGTTCTTGTGTCTGGTTTGGGTAGACTCTTAATAATCTCTATCAAAGCAACTCACTTGGTCATCTGTGTGGTGAAAAGGAGAACGCCGGTCTTAACAGAAAATGGTTCAAAATACGTATTCATGCATATAAGATAAAGCAAACGATTGCCGCAGGCCACCGTGACGGTCCACAGGCGTTCTTACCTGTGTAGATGAATCTGCCCGGTGTCCCTTTGCAGAACTGCTTGGACTTGTAGGACAGTGTGACTTCCACGACCCCGGGGATGTGCCGCGGAGGCGTCTGCACGCGGATGGCGTGAGGCGTGATCAGCTAGGAGAGACGTGTGCAGGGACACGGGTCATTGCAATATGCAGAGGAATTGTTTCACGGCTGCTCTATTAGCAATCCATAAACAAAGCCTTAAAACACATAATTAACCTGTCAAGATTTAAACCAAAGCTCGCTGGAACCTGTAGAAAGACAGTCTGACACTGCTATTTGCTGGTGTTCCAGATAACAGCCGTAACCGCACTGCCTGGCTTTTCCTACAGGGCAGGCCCTGTATTTCCTGGTTTGAACAGGGAACCTGGCCTTGTGTGTGGTTCATCTCCTAAAAAGATCTCTGCTTGAAGCAGACAGTGAATCAGAGCAAAGATGCACCACAATTCCCCAGAGGCCGATGGCCTGGTGTTTGAAGGTGCCCTGCGAGGGCGGAAAGCACAGGAGGAGAAGAGTGTAGGTCGAGGCACTCCGGTGAGAAGCCCATTGAGCTCATCGGCTCCCAGAGGCACCTGAGGAATCTGGCTGCTCGGACCAGCTCGTGGCTCTAGCAGATGTGGGCTGGGAGAGGGCTCTGCAGAGAAAGGAAATGCAAGATCGCCCCCAGGCCATTACTGGGATGGCAGGAGTGCGGCGCGGCTGCTGGCGCTGGTTGGCAATCAGATTACAGTGCGATGCAGAATTTATTGCTTTATTACTCTTATCTCTGTTTATATAACTAAAATGTTATTAATGGCCATAAAACGGGCATCATCTGACCCTCTGAAAAACCCAGTCCTGGTATTTGACTGGCTGACCTCCGACAGTGCTGGATTCTCTACGTTCTCTCTCTCTGAGGTCAGTGACTCACTCAGAAGCCCCCCCCACCACCACCACCACGTATAGCGCTAAGTCTGTGTGCAGTGGGTACTGTACATCGTCTTCCACGTCAGGCCTGCAGATGGGCTCCAGGCAGTTGGTACCGCTTGACCTTCGTGCGTTTCTCACGGGGATAACTTAGGAAAGGGGGTTTATTTGACTGTGCAAGACAAACTGAGTTCACGTGTTTTGCCCAGAGAATCACCCAAGTGTGATTATGAGATGCCAGATACAGTCCCAGGGTCCCCCACTCCTGCGTCCCCCTCTGCCGACTGCCCGACACCAGGTCGCAGAGAAAAACAAACATGAGAACGTTGCTATTCTGTTAAAGACCACAGCGATTTGTGCCACAGGCTCCTTGGTCGTTCACAGTCAGCGGGGCCTTTTTCTCTCTAGCATGGGCCTTCTCTCTAGCACGGAGCCTGAGCTTGTTTACTGAGGATGTACAAATGACAGTTCGGTGAGAACATGCTACAAGCAATGCCTAGAGAATGAGTCTCTTTCCAGAATGAGTGGTTTGGATGCACACACATGTGTGCACATGCGTGCGCGCACATACACACACACACACACACACACACAAACTTTGTCTTAAAGTTTCATTCTATCACTATTGAAATTCTTCAACGAATTTATATGCTTTTGTTAATACACAAAGTATATGTCATTTAACTTCCCTATGTCAAAACCACCATTTGGAGTGCACTGTCTTTTAATCTTGCTGTAAAGTAGTAAAGTTCTGACCCCCGGGGAATGAGGAATGGTTTCTGTGCACCCCAGAACTCCTCCATTTTTATTCTGCATCTTTTATCTTTCCCCCCTGGTGTTTGAGGCACCTTCTAAGCTGCTCTGGGAATGTAGAAACCAGGAAATCAAACCTAACACAGTATGAACATGGAGAAGAGACTCCGAAGCGCTGTAAAAGATGAGCTTACGGCTGGGTGTTGGTGGCTCATGCCTGTGATCCTAGCTAATCAGGAGGCTGAGATCTGAGGATCGTGGTTCAAAGCCAGCCCAGGCAAGGAAAGTCTGTGAGACTCTTATCTCCAATGAACCACTAGAAAACCAAAAGTGGTGCTGTGGCTCAAGTGGTAGAGCACACGCCTTGAGCTGAAGAGCTCAGGGGCAGTGCCCAGAACCAGAGTTCAAGTCCTATGACCGACAAAAAAGAAAAAAGAAAAAGAAGAAAGAAAAAGATTATCTTACATCTTCCCCTTCACCCTTCAGAGGGCATGAAGTCTGGACCAGGAGATCGCAGCATTGACGATCAAGAAGGTATTTACCCCGATGCTGGGAATTTAATACAAACACTAATTTGGTCCAAACAATAGTACATTGCTATTCTTTTTCTTTCATGTGTGAAGACAGAATTTTAAATTGCTTGCCCGTGATTACCTTGTAGTCTTTAAAGTCTCTCTAAAGGATAAAGGGGCAGTGGGGTGTACCACAGCGGCAGAGCACACACGTGGCATGCACACGGCCCTGCGTTTAATCTCTAGTACCAGAAAAGAAAGAGACTTGGACCAACCTTTCTTATTCAGAGAAAACTGTACATATGGAAACTTTTAATAGGTATTAAATAACTAATTTTTTCAGACCAAAGACTGCATTTCTGCTCTCCTCTTGCCAGCGCCACGCTCCATGTGTTCCCGGCGTTTTGGCTCTGCTGGGGGATGTGAAGATCACTCTGCTGCTATATTCCAAGCCAATGCATTTCTGCTTGTAAGAATTACTAGGATGTTGGATAAGAACTTTGAGTCATTTAGAAAACACTTCACTTGCCTGCCGTCCCTTTTTTAGGGGGTCTAGTTTTAAAAGACGGAAAGCTAAGTCAAGTGCTGATGGCTTACACCTGTAATCCTAGCTACTTAGGAGGCTGAGATCTGAGGATCACAGTTCAAAGCCAGCCCAGGCAGGAAAGTCTGTGAGACTCTTATCTCCAATAAAACCACTAGAAAACTGGAAGTGCCACTGTGGCTCAAGTGGTAGAGCGCTCGCCTTGAGCTGAAGAGCACAGGGACAGCGCCCAGGCCCAGAGTTCAAACCCCACGACTACCAAAAAAAACAAACAAAAACCAAAAGATGGAAAGCTATTAGTAAATAGGTAGATGAGAACTTCTTTTTAAAGTAGGCAAAGTTACTTTCTCTGTGTACGGAACAAAATTCCTGAGCTGCTGTGGATTGATAAGAGGTGGTCATAATACAAGTATGGAGCACATAACAGAGCTTTAGCACAAAGGCATTAAGCTCAGGAAATCCAAGCAAATTCTCATTTACAATTTTATTTTCAGCCACAGTCAGCTGCTCTAACGAAAGCAGAGATTTTTCCTGCAGACGACTAACCCTTCACGGATGAGGTTAACATCCAAGACATCACTGGAGAATGAATTCGTTCATGTTTCCCTCACTGTGGAGGTCATTCTGGGAATGGCCTCAAACATCTACACTGGATACAGAGGCCTTCTCAGGGTAAAACAGCTGGCTAACCTCCATAATGTGAATGCACAAGCTTATTTATTAACCACCCAAAGAATCAGAATTCTTGCTGGAATGTTCGTGATCATTTAAACTTAGCAAATAATTCTGCCCAACACCCGTCATTGGAGTACCACTGAGTTGTCCTATCTTTAAGTTTTTATTCTGTAAGGATAATTGAAAAATAGGGGTCTCCCAACCAACCAGAAGAGTGTTCTACTCAGTCGCTGAGAGTTCAGACAATCCTGAAGTCTAAGTGGGTATTATCTGCTGACACCCTCAGTTAACTGAGAATTGAGATTGCCTAGTGATCGATGTTACAGTTGTGTCTGCTCCAAATGAGACTTCCTCTCTTAACATAAAGCCCCGGATTAAGAGAGAAGAGAATAACTTCCTCACTGTGAGACTCACTCTGTACTGTGTCTCAAATGTAAGACTGCCACTGGTAGAGAAGGGGCGTGTGCCACGACCTTTGGGAACTCTTCCTTCAGACAACTAGGGAACAGATTTCACTCTTGACTTTTCATTCTTTCCATTACAAATCACCAAACAAATGGAGCAGGAAATACTTAATTCTGAAACTGACCAGCATGCAACAGGACTAGAATTCTCCCCTCTTGGAAGTCTCCGCTTTCTTTCCGTCCATGATGCTCACTGTAAGTCTGAGGACTTGCTAAGTGACCATTTATCAAGGCAGGGCGTTGGAAAAATGTTGACCTACTTTTTCCTTCTGTTTACTTATCGAATCCGTCTTGAGTTCATGCATTCGCTCCATCATCTCAGCTGAACCACCTTCCCAGCTTACATCTGGAAACTCGGTCCTTTTAGCCAAGCACCACACTTTATTAACAAGACCAGACTCTCCCAAATATGTCTTCCTGTCACTTGGATCTCAACACGGTGCAAAATATATTTATCATCTTAATTCTTCAAGTGATACTAATTGCTAGGGTGTCTCCTTTCTCAGTGAAAAGAACTATCTTTCAAAGAACTATCTTTCAGGTCACTCAAAATAGAAAACTAAGAGATTTTTGTTCTCTTTCTGGCTTCGGGTGTTGGTCTTGTTGTTTGTTTTGTAATACTGAGGATTGAACTTGAGGCCTTGTACTTGCTAGGCAACCATCTACCATTCATCTATGCCTCCATCCTTTTGTTTTTACTTTGTTTTCCATGTAGAGTCTCATTCATGCTTTTCCCCCAACAGCCTTGGAACTTGATCCTCCTGCCTCTCTGCCTCCTGCCTAGCTGGCGTTGATTATGGGTCTACACTATCATGCCCTGTCTCTCTCCAATACTTAAGACATGTTGATTATATCCTGCCTCATCTCCCAGACATTTTTTTGCCTTTCCTGCTCAGGTTGTTACCCTTTCTTGCTTTTGTAATACTAGAGTGGCCTTCTAAATGGTCTACTTCTTAGTCTTTGTGTGTGTGTGTGTGTGTGTGTGTGTGTGTGTGTGTGTGTGAGAGAGAGAGAGAGAGAGAGAGAGAGAGAGAGAGAGAGAAAGAGAGAGAGAGAGAGAGAAATATCAGGAAATATCGGGGTTTGAACTCAGGACCTTATGCACAAGCACTCCACACTTGAACCATGTTCACATCTCTTTCATTGATTTTTGTTATTTTTAGGTATTATCTCCCATCGACAGACTCAGATTGTGATCTGACTATAAAGCCCCGTGTAGTGTGATTACAGGCAGACACACACACACACACACACACA